GCCCGGGTTCGATCCTCAGCACCACATACAAACAAAGATGTTGTGCCCGCCGAAAACTAAAAAAAAATAAATATTAAAAAATTCTCTCTCTCTCTAAAAAAAAATTATATATATAAAAAAAGAAAGTTTATAATCACAAAGACTCTGGGTCACAAAGCATACATATATGTTTGTACATCCACATAGATGTATGCAAACACATATACATGTGAATGATTCAGGTACACATATTTTAATATATATAGTTATAACTTTAAAATATCTGATTAATCTAAGCTTTTAAAACCGATCTGAAATAATTTCTGCATTGTTTGATTGGCTGTAGCGCTGGGGACTGAACCCAGGGCCTTATGCATGCTAGGTTAGGTGGTCTACCACTGAGCCACATCCCCATCCCCGGGTGGGAGAGAGGTACTGGGGATTGAATCCCAGGGCACTTTACCACTGAGCTTCGTCCTCAGTCCTTTATTAAAATTTTAAATTTTGAGATGGGGCCTTGTTAAGGTGCTGCTGTGCCACTGCTCAGCTTATGTTTTTGTTTCTGATACATGAATCTACATTCCCTCTTTTGGCTCAAAAATTGCAAATGCAAAATGACCCCTTAAAAGGAGTATTATCAATCAAAGCAGAAAGATCACAACTCAAATACCTTCTCTTTTATTCATAAAATATTTCCTTTGTTGAATTCCTCTAAAATCCCAATAGCCATAATCCAATGATATTTATGATATAATTTATGACTTGTTCAATTGTAAAGTACACCATTATTTCTATTTTACTAGTGAGTAAAGAAAGGATAGTAAGAAAGAAAAAAATACCAATGAAAGTATAATACTTCATCTATTGAAAATTACAAGAAGCTTTCCATGAAAAGAAGTGCTAGAATCAATGAAATGCATTATTTGACTTCTGTAAAGTTTGACGTATTTCCTTGCCATGTTGTTTGAACACTCAGACACCAGACAGCTTACCTGCTAGATACTTGATGGTGTCGAGCTTGTGCGACTCAAGCATGGTTTTGAGGCCAGCCACCTCTGTTTCTATCTTCCTATCTGTCTGCGTCAGGGCGCGATCCTGCTGGGCATGCTTTCAAAACAAAGAGCTTCAGAGCATTAGGAGGCTTCAGGTCCTGGCCCCAGCCCTCCACCCCAGAGCACCTTCCTGTTGGGGAGCCCCCGGGCAGCCTAGGGGAGACCAGGGGCTATGCTTTAGGTCTCCAGGCCTCAGTTTCCCTC